TAAACGGTGGAGGGGGGCACCGCACTGCTAAACAATTGGTGTGCTTTGGGGTGCCCCCTGCCCCCGTATATAAAGGAGGAGAGGGGAGAGGGCCGGCCCTATGGCGCCCCCCCCCCCCTTCCTTTCCAATGGAGGGGAAGAGGGAAAGAGAGGGAGAGGGAGAAGGAAAGGGGGTGGCGCCCTCTTTCCTAGTCCAATTCGGCCTCCTCCCTTGTGGGGGCGCACCAGCCCCTTGTGGGCTGGTTAGCCTCCCTCCTATGGCCCATATGGCCCATATCTTCCATCGGGGGATTCCGGTAACCCCTCCGGTACTCCGGTTTGTACCCGATACACTTCGGAACCCTTCCGGTGTCCGAATACCACCTTCCAATATATCAATCTTTACCTCTCGACCATTTCGAGACTCCTCGTCATGTCCGTGATCTCATCCGAGACTCCGAACAACCTTCGGTCACCAAAACACACAACTTATATAATACATATCGTCATCGAACGTTAAGCGTGTGGACCCTACGGGTTCGAGAACTATGTAGACATGACCGAGACATTTCTCCAGTCAATAACCAATAGCGGAACCTGGATGCTCCTATTGGTTCCCACATATTCTACGAAGATCTTTATCGGTCGAACCGCAATGTCAACATATGTTATTCCCTTTGTCATCGGTATGTTACTTGCTCGAGATTCGATCATCGGTATCTCCATACCTAGTTCAATCTCGTTACTGACAAGTCTCTTTACTCGTTCTGTAATGCATCATCCCGCAACTAACTCATTAGTCACATTGCTTGCAAGGCTTCATATGATGTGCATTACCGAGAGGGCTGAGAGATACCTCTCCGATACTCGGAATGACAAATCCTAATCTCGATCTATGCCAACCCAACAAACACCTTCGAAGATACCTGTAGAGCATCTTTATAATCACTCAGTTACGTTATGACGCTTGATAGCAAACAAGGCATTCCTCCGGTGTCCGGGAGTTGCATAATCTCATAGTCAGAGGAATATGTATTTGACATGAAGAAAATAGTAGCAATAAAACTAAACGATCATTATGCTAAGCTAACGGATGGGTCTTGTCCATCACATCATTCTCCTAATGATGTGATCCCATTCATCAAATGACAACACATGTCCATGGCTAGGAAACTTAATCATCTTTGATCAACGAGCTAGTCTAGTAGAGGCATTCTAGGGACACGGTGTTTTGTCTATGTATTCACACATGTATCAAGCTTCCGGTTAATACAATTCTAGCATAAATAATAAACATTTATCATGAATAAGGAAATATAAAATAACAACTTTATTATTGCCTCTAGGGCATATTTCCTTCAGGTTGTGGCACCGATCGGCATGAGGCCGATGTCACCAACGGTGGTCGGAGTAGACGAAGTGGTCGAGGAAGATGACGGCGACGCTGGCGACAGGCTGGTGCTGGACGAAGACGAAGGGGGTGGACTGGCGGCGGCGGCGGCTAGGTTAGGAATGCGGTGGCGCTGCTCGAAGTAGGCGAGGAACCCAACAGCGTGATGAAGACCGGTGTGGACGGTGGCGTTCCCTCGCCGAGGGAGATGGCGCGACGCATACCATGGAAGGTCGATGCGCCGTGACGGCGGAGGGGACCGCGGGCCGCGGCGCTACGGCCTGAATGGGCAATGCAGCGGCGGCGGGCAGGTCGGGGCGATGGCGGGTACCGCAGGCCGCGGTGCTACAACCCGAAGGGGCGGTGCAGCGGCGGAGCGCGGGTCAGTGCAACCGCGGGGACGGCCTCGGGGCGGCGGGGGGGCGCATATCGCGGCACTACGGCCCGAAGGGGCGATGCAGCCGCGACGCGCGAGTCAATGCAACCGCGAGGAGAACCACGGGGCGGTGGCGCTACGGCCCGACGGGGCGATGCAGCGGCAACCCGATGCTCGATCGGTGGAGAGGCGTGTTGTACTTGTGACGATCTTCACGGGACCTGCGGAGGCGCGCGCAATCGACGGGCCAGGTCGGTCGCGCGGCGTAGATGGGACGGATCGCGGCGGCGAGCGGGTGATCAAGCCGATTGCGCGCGAGGTCGGGGACGCCACTCAGTTGAGGCGGGGTGGCGACGGAGTCTAAGATGAAACCAGCGATGACGGAACGCGTGGGATGACATGCGGATGAGTGCGTCAGCACCGGCACCCGGGCTACCAAAGCCGCACCTGCACCCGGGCTGCGAGGCCCGAGCGACCAACGGAGCAGCAGCGCCCGAGCTCGAGGCAGCCGATGAGCCTGACGCAACCGGGGATGAGGCTGGCGAGGCACATTGTAGGACCGCCAAGCAGACGCGACCGTGGCGGGTGGCGATGGACGGCATGGATCGACAGGCGGGCCGATGTGCGAACGACGGCTGTGATGTGCCGCCGCATCGCGTGAGACCGTTGGGTCGGGGCGATGCAGGAGTCCGGTCGGAGCAGGGCGGCGACGGCCGGCGTAGGGCGATGGCGGGCCGACGCGTGGACGGAGGCTGGTCCTGACGGGCCGCCTCGGCGCGTGTGGCCGCCGGGTCGGAGGAGAGGTTGAGTGTCGCGCCGATGTCAGAGTAGGGCGGCGGCGGCGGGCAACGCAAACCGACCAAGATTAGATCGGGAAACCAAAAAGAAAATGTCGATCAAGATGACTGGCGGGAGAGAGAAAAAACCGGAACAAGGGCTCGGGAAAAAGACTCACTAGGGCAGCCGGCAGGAGAGAGAGAAAAAGGCGAAGCAAGGGCTCAGGAAAAAGACTCGCTAGGTTTCTCTAGGATTTTTGGAGCGATTTTCGTATAATGGTGCCGTGATTGGTTGATTTTAGATTCGGCTAAAACTCCTCGTTTATTTTCATTCACTTGGTAGCTTTTGTTCATTTGCGTACATTTAATTAGGTCACTGCAAATGTGTGATGAATCTCCTTGCCGTGAGAAAATGTTATATATTGTTTGTGTTCGTGATAATTGTCGTTTGAATGAAGAATTGATGGACACCCAGCAATAGAAGTGTGCCTCCGAAATCTCAAGTTCAAGAACTACCCAGTATTGGCGTGTTTGTAAAACAACTACAATTACTCCGTTTATTTCTTGATGCATGCTACTTCGACGTTTATTTATTTATATATATATTGGCTGACATCTCTTTTTCTAAATCTAAGTTAAGAGTACAACTAGGGTCAAAGTCAGTAGCGGCTTACGCACCTCATTCAAAAATTGTTTGCTCGACAAAAACAGTTGAAGTTCTCTTGAATGTCAACAATATACTGGACATATTGTGGGAGCAGCACCGAATCGAAACAAAAAAATGAATACAAGATATGAACCAAAAATAACAACGGTGAAGGTCAGGGTCATAGACAACAAGGCATAAGAGATTCGCCGTCGAGATGGAGACAAGTGCACAACCAGCAGCACCCCCTATTTATTTTATTTTCTTTGTGCAAGATTTTCCTGCAATGATGGTTTTCTAAGGAAACAACATGACAAATACTACTCCCTCTGTTTGGAATTACTTATCTCAAAAATGGATGTATCTAAAACTAAAATACGTCTTAATACGTCCATTTTCAAGACAAGTAATTCCGAATGGAGGGAGTAGAAAGAAAGGGATGCCAAGTAACAGTCTCAAACTGACCTCAATGACTCCCCTTGGCAACTTGGCAGGGAAATCCTTGCTCTTCTGGAAGCCAGCATTCAACTCATACTCCTTGTACTTACTATCCAACTGAGTACAGGCAAATTAGTTACCGATTTGATATGCAACCAAAGGGAAAAACGAGTAATGACATGTAAAAGGAAACTAGGATACTTAATCACCTCATTCGTAAGATCTTTCAGGAGTCTGGTTTGCCCAAACGGACATGAGTTCTTGCCACTGTAGAAAAGGGAGCTGATCAGGGCTGTCTAGGCAGTTTACTTTATCTTGTACTCCCTCCGTTCAGAATTACTTGTCGTAGAAATGGATGTATCTAGATGTATTTTAGTTCTAGATACAACCATTTCCGAGACAAGTAATTCCGAACGGAGGGAGTACAACCTGAAAGAAAGGTATACAGTCAGGAGGAACTTATTGCTTGAGATCATGGAAGGCTTGGTAAACAACCGACATAATTTTGAAATGAATGTGTTTTGATAAAGAAAAATTGGCTATGTCGCTCTGGGGTTGAGATTTGACTTTGAGGTGCATGCATCCGTCGCGTTTTGGCAGGTGAGATTAGTTGGCTAGCCTAGCCAATAATGCTATTTCATTAGTCTCATACTAGTCTACTAGTAGTATTTGTTAAAACGAGATTAGTTGCATTGCTAACTAAGCTGTACATTGCTCCACGAAACCCAACATGGATGGTTAATTTATATATTTTCAACGTTTGATTAGGTTCTCATCGATACCAATCGCCCAAGGTGCCTTCCTTCTGTGCTCCCAATCCCATCGGCATACATACTATTCTGGCTCTACGACCGGCTTGTAGGTGAAGCCAGCGATTAGGCCACTCCTCCGGAAGCTCAGTGAGCTGCTTACTGGAGAATTCAACCTGGAGAAACGCCGTCCCTTGAGATGGAGCTGGCGTTGATGCACGCCGTCCTCATCAAGGTGGGCGAGGTGCCGCCCAACCAGCTTCACGCGAAGGTCAAGGTGTGGGCGGGCAAGGTGCGCGACCTGTGCTATGGCATGGAGGACGCCGTTGATGCCTTCATGGTGCGCGTAGAGGACGGCCATGACCTCGAGCAGCCGACCAACATGAAGAACAGAGTCAAGAAGTTCGTCAAGAAGGTCTCCAAGCTGTTCCGTAGTGGCAAGGCTCTTCATCAGATCTCCAACGCCATCCAAGAAGCTCAAGATCTCGCCAAGGAGTTGACCGATCTCCGTGAAAGGTACAAGCTCGATATCCATAGCTCAAGCTCGATATTCCCTCCGTCCGAAAATACTTGTCATCAAAATGGACAAAAAGGGATGTATCTAGAACTAAAATACATCTAGATACATCCCCTTTTATTCATTTTGATGACAAGTATTTCCGGCCGGAGGGAGTACAAGCTCGATATCCATAGCACCGACGCTGGTGCTAACATTGACCCTCGCCTAGTGAACATGTACAAAGATATAACCGAGCTTGTTGGCATGGAAGAGGAAAGGGACGCGCTGATTTATAGGTTAGCAGAAGGTGGCGAGGGGTCAAAGCAACAACTGAAGACAATTTCTGTCGTCGGGCTAGGCGGACTGGGCAAGACAACCCTTGTAAGAGCAGTGTATGAGAAGATCAAAACTCAGTTTGATTGCTGGGCTTTTGTTTCAGTGTCTCGAACTCCCGACATGAAGAAAATTTTCAAGGACATGCTCTATGGACTTGACGAGCACAAGTTTGAAGAAATACATAGCACATCAAGGGATGAAAAGCTGCTCATTGACAAACTCCGTGAGTTTCTTGAGCACAAGAGGTACATCTATATCTTCCTCTCTTTTGCATGTAGATCATGTTTCACTTTAAATATACGTCTTCTTTTTTTCTTGTGCAGTCATCTTCTTAATTAGCACCCTGCTGATATTTCGATTATTATTTGGTTTCCTTGTTTCCTTCCAAACTTAGTTGTATCTTGATTGACTTACCCACTAACGCTTCACAAAATTGATACAGGTACCTCATCGTAGTTGATGACATATGGGATGAGAAAATATGGGATATTATCAAGTGTGCTTTATCTAGCAACAATCTTGGTAGTCGAATAATCACAACAACTCGCAGCATCAATGTCTCTGAAGCATGCTGCTCTTCTGGTGTTGACATAATTCATAGAATGAAACCTCTTTCCGATAGAAACTCCCAGAGGCTCTTCTATAGAAGAATATTTCAGAATGAGCATGGATGTCCCGTTGAGTTGGAAGAAGTGTCCATAGATATCTTGAGGAAATGTGGCGGGGTACCATTAGCCGTTATTGCTATCGCTAGTCTACTGGCTAGTAATCAACAGATGAAGTCAAAGGATCAATGGTGCAATTTGCTCGAGTCTATTGGGCATGGACTTATTGGAGGTGATGTTGTGGAGGACATGAAGAAGATATTATCATTTAGCTATTATGATATGCCTCCCCATCTAAAGAGTTGTTTCTTATATTTAAGTATATTTCCAGAAGACTGCGAGATTGAGATAGAGAGATTGATTTGGAGGTGGATAGCTGAAGGTCTTATCCATCATGAAGAACAAGGGAAGAGTTTATTTGAGGTTGGCGAGAGTTATGTCAATGAGCTAATAAATAGAAGTATGATCATGCCAGTAGAGATTGATTGTGACAAGGTATATGCTTGCTAGATTTTTACGACAAATGTTCAGTTTGTAGTTCCAGAACTGTCTTGTGTTGTGTTGTGCTTATTTTATAGTCTGTTGTGAAAAAACTACATAAATAGGCTTAAATGAGTCAAACAAACACTAAATTCGAACAAAAGTTCATTGGATAATCTGGATTATCACAATTCACCTCAATGCCAAGCACAGCCTAAATCTGGATTCTGATGTAGACAGGTATTCATCCTAGTTAGGATTTTGCATCTGCCGTCAATCTCTTCACATCGAGGGTGTTAACTTTAATTCTTTTGGTTTCTCAGCTGCAATCGGAGGGTGCATGAATTAATGATCAAGTGGTTGTCTATGATTCAAAATATATTGTAATGTGGGTGGTGATCCCCATAGCAATACTCAAGTTAAATAAAGTACACCAAATGGCATTCCCTTCCAAAAAAGATGGCCATGTTGTCCCTACAGGTACCTACCAAGTAATCCCTCCCTCTCCATCATATTATGTTTTATATCTGTTGGTCGTCCATTTTCTCTTTTGAGTAACACCCCCAACTCGTAGTAGATGCGCATCCACACCACCACACGGAAAATATGCCTTGGGACATGGTTCCGGTTGAAACCAAACTTCGGTTTGTTTAAGATCATGTGTACTCCCAACTAAACCTCCTTTTACCTCTTTGTACATGAGAGTATTCCCAATAATTCCTAATTTTGTGGCCCACGAGTTGCTTACTGTCCATGCCAACAAATTAACCGAGTATTCGAGCCGTTACCTAATCTAACTAGACATTTAATAATCACTAGAACATACCCAACTAGTTGCAGGAACATTGTAAAAAGAAATGCATGATATGTGCTACAAAGATAACTAAAGTAATACAAAGCAAATGTAAAGTTGTTCTTGGTTCTTACATAAAAAAATACAAATATGAAGTATATAACAGAAGGGTGTAGAAAAACATAAAAACTTCTAAATTGCAGTTAACAAGATGTCATTTGCTAACAAAAATATGAAACATGAACTAAATAGGTACGCTCAAGCAACACTTATATCGTCCATGACAACACAACAATATGACGCCAAAAATTGTAATTTATGACTAACATACATGACTTGCCGGTGTACTCACTCGTGATAGAAAGTCTCTATTAGAAAGTCTCTCTATCAGAGCATATGCCGGAGGAGCATTGTGGATGCTATGTCAGGGCGGAATTAGTGATGCCATAGTTTGTTTGTTTTTTTAAACGGACGATGCCATAGTATGTTTTTTTGAAACAGACGATGCCATAGTTGTCATCAACGATTACGAGTCGAACGACTAGTCTAGACTAGTCGCTCGACTAGTCTATGAGTCGCAAAGTGGCTGTTGACTCGGTTTCTCGTGTAGACTACAAATATGAGTCGAGCCAGTCATCGACTAGTCGACGACTAGTCTGGACTAGTCGACATGTTCGAGTCGAACGACTCAAAAAACTGGGGGAGTATAAATACGATGGCTCATCCCACGTGAGACGAGACCTAATCCTTTCTTTCCTCTCCTCCTCTTTCTTCTTGGCTTGCTGCTGGTGTTGCTCTGCCTCGTTGCTGGAGGACTGCTCGTGCTGCTCTGCTTGCTGTTGGTGCTGCCCTGCTTGCTGCTGATTGCTGGTGCTGCCCTGCTTGCTGCTGGTTGCTGGTGCTGCTAGACTGAGTGTGTTTCAATTTCCAGGTCCTGAGGTCTGAGCTACAATGTCTACAACACCGGTGATTGTATTGTATACTGTACTTGTATACTTATATAGTGTAATACTACATACTACTACTAGGTATTATTAGTTATGTACTGTAAGTTCAGTGCTACAGTACCATGTCGACTAGTCTCGCACTAGTCTAGACTAGTCTATGAGTCTTAACCTTGGAACGACTCGTCGACTCTTCGACTCGTAAACGTTGGTCGTCATACAAGTAGGAAATGGTGATGTTTTTCATAGAAGTACATGATAAAAACAAGATGTGCACAGAAGCAGAAACTCATACTCGAGCATCTCCAAGAAATGAATTATTGTGCAATGAATCTCAGGGGTAATCCCTTTTGTCAATACATGAATATCCCTGGCTTGAATTTTGATTTCTTTCTCGTTAGACTAATTATGGATGTTTAATTCATTGCTGTTGCAGAGGATCAGAGCAATTCTTTGTTGTGGAGATGAAACACATACAGGAAAGACGAAATTGTCAAACCAGAAACTAACATAGAAAACCAGTTTGATAGTAGCCAGGGCAAAGGAGTTAGCTCTTCTTCCTCCTCTTATCCGGGAAGTAATGAGCAGGACGAGGAGGAAAACGCAATGTTGTCATCCTTGTCCCTTTGTGGGATAGTCAACAAATTAGGTCCAGGCGCGACCTGCGGTTATCTAGCTTCTTAAACAAGATCAAGGAGATGGTACTGAAACATGTGACCACAAACAGTCAAAAATTTGTCATAGTTAAAGTCTGTCACAAAGATGGTTATCTCAATGATGGAACACAGTGGCGGCAGGTTCATCAAACAGATGGATCTTAAGAGTTTGATAGATGGACTCTCTAGTGCTCCGAACATTCCAAAACTCAACTACACTGTGGTTTTCAGCACTGCCTCCAACAGTTTTGGAACCACATCGAAGCTTGTCAGGTGTAGTATCGTGTCCCTCATGAAAGAAGCAAAAGAATTGGATGTCATGGTGCCACCTGCCTCTGCATAGCTATTGTTCGTTTCCATATATTTAATTAGGTCGCTGCAAATGTGTGATCAATCTCCTCGTCATGCGAAAATGTTATGTATTGTTTGTGTTCGCGATTATGATCGTTTGAATGAAGAATTGATGGACACACAGCAATAGAAGTGTGCCTCAGAAATCTCAAGTTTAAGAACTACCCAGTACTGGTGTGTTTGTAAAACAACTACAATTACTCCATTTATTTCTTGCTGCATGCTACTTTGACGTTTACTAAATCTAAGTTAACAATACAACTACGGTCGAAGTCGGTAGCGGCTTACGCACCTCATTCAAAAATTGTTTGCTAGACAAAAACAGTTCAAGTTCTCTTGAATGTCAACAATATACTGGAGTGGGAGCAGCACCAAATCAAAACAAGAACTGAATACAAGATATGAATCAAAAATAGCAATGGTAAAGATCAGTGTCATAGACAACAAGGCATAAGAGATGCACCGTCGAGATGGAGACAAGTACGCAACCAGCATCACCCCCTGTTTATTTTCGCTTTATGCAAGATTTGCCTGCAATTCTAAGGAAACAACATATGGCAAATAAAAAGAAAGGGATGCCAAGTAACAGTCTCAAACTGACCTCAATGACTCCCCTTGGCAACTTGGCAGGGAAATCCTTGCTCTTCTGGAAGCCAGCATTCAACTCATACTCCTTGTACTTACCATCCAACTGAGTACAGGCAAATTAGTTACCGATTTGATATGCAACCAAAGGGAAAAACGAGTAATGACATGTAAAAGGAAACTAGGATACTTAATCACCTCATTCGTAAGATCTTTCAGGAGTCTGGTTTGCCCAAACGGACATGAGTTCTTGCCACTGTAGAAGAGGGAGCTCAGGGTTGTCTAGGCAGTTTAGCAAATCTGGTACAACCTGAAAGAAAGGTACAGTCAGGAACCTATCGATTGAAGAAAGATGGTGTATTTTGTCACAAATTAAGAGGTTAGTTCCTCTCTGTAGACGAGGACAGTGGCAACGAGATAGACAAGGGAAATAAAAGTGGAAGAACAACTGCATCCTGAAAGTTTGATATGCCTTACATGATTGATATTATGTTCATATCCTGCAAGGATAATGTGCGCAGAATTCACACTTGCAGCAAAACTTTGGTGAACTTTGCCAGAAATAGCAGTAGGAGGTCCAAGTTTTGGAAAGGTGCCATGAAATGGTTCAGCCCTCCTACAGAAGGTGGGTCATCAAGATCCAACCTTGCTATCAGGCCACTCGCCTGCACAAAGACAGCCATTTCAGCTTGTATTTACAAGATGTATGCATATTACAAGCACAAAGTACTTTAATCAGAATGTACATATAGCACTGTGAACTTGACAGCAAGAGGGGGAGAGAAGAAACGAACCTGCATGACCTGACCCTCAGGCATGACAAAGGGAATGACACCAGAGACCGGTAGTAACAGTAGCGTGCACATTTTCATGACTTCCGCCACTTCAGCATATGGTGTATCAGCAACCACATGAGAACCATCCGCCGATCAAAACCAAAGAAGTCTGCATGGTGTATCAGCCAACAGCCAGGAAGGAACATGCTCTTTCAGTAATATTATCATTCGGAGAACAGAACTAATTCATGTGTTTCCATACAATTTGCAGTCACAATTACAACTGAAACATACCCTATATTATGTAGTCCTTCAGTTAGATATCCCCGTAGTGAGGATTTCTCGTGGTCCCTCATTTACATACCATGAGTTGGATTCCAGAGGTTGTGCACAAAATAAGATGATCTTTCTAGCACTTTCTCCTGGAATATCTGTAAAATCAGCGTAATAGGGTTCTGAAAACAAAGAAGCTAAAAATATGCAGCAAAATAGCATGCTGAGGGATGACATCCTCACAAAATGTGTCATTACATGCTAATCCCTTAACTCCACAGAAGAAGATATATTGTACATTTGCACTGCACACATCACCACAACTCACCTGAAACATACAATTGTTAATGCCTTACTATTCTGGGGCAACTAATTCATTGCAACATTCTTTTAAGTAATATGCGCTTCTGCTCCGTTAGCAACTTGTATTCATATGTTACTATTGCCACAGGCACACAGAAATCCCCAGAATGGTGAACCATGCATATTGTTCCAAGAAGGAATTCGTGTAAGCTGCATAAGACCAGAAGGATATGTACTCCAGCATGGCTATACGTAACAATTTGACTGATATTCATAAGAAACGCTAACAAACTCAATTTATCAAAAATATGAGAACAGGTGTTCTAAGATTCCATGAACTGATTGTAGGGGTGTTCAAACAAGATTCCACTAACATTTCTCAAAAGGGGCCAAAAGAAAAAAAAGAAACAAAAAGAAACGAGCATACATGGACTTCTGGAACAGTTGGAACTCTGGCAAGAAATCTTTGTATTGATAACTCATTCAAAGCAGCACCATAAACCCGACAACAGAGAAATTTGATACCATTACACATTAGTCTATGCAGCCTGGATCACTCCTTAGCATAAAGTGTCGGCAAGAGACTATTTACTGCAACCTGTGAAGCTTCAATCCCACCTTAGCATCAAAACATCTGGTAAGAGCATATTTACTGTGGTGGTA